GTTGATGTTCAGTTGGATCATTATTACTATGTTGAGATGAACTATCTTCACCATCATTCATTTCATCTTCTTTTATATTTGTTAATAAATTATTTGTTAAAATCGATAATGAAGTAAGTTGTTGTGATGAATGATGTATTAGATTTGTATTGCGTAATTTTTGATGAACTTTTCCATGACGTTTACGTTCATCGGATCGAGCAAAACGACGACCACATGTATCACATGAAAATGGTTTTTCTAAACGAAGTAAAAAAAACAATAATTTTATTTCTTTTCAATTTATTTAATTTGTTTTACCTCCAGTGTGTGTTCGAATATGTGTTGTTAGATGATCAGATCTTGAAAATGCTCGTGCACAAATTTTACATTGAAATGGTTTATCACCTGTATGAATTCGAATATGTCTATCAAAATAAGAAATTTAGTATAAAAAGAAAACAAAAAAAAAAAAAGGAATATTCTTATTTATACCTTGTTAATTCATCTGATCGTGAAAATCTTCTTGGACATTGATCAATAGGACATGGAAACGGTCGTTCATGTAATGGAGTTTTTGATGGTCGATTTGTATAATTTCTTGGTTTAATAAAATGATTTGCTTGAACATTACCATTTATCATTGGATAATCTTGTGGTTCATCTTTAACGCATGATGATGATGATTGAAATGTAAAATTACTAGGTTGATTTGTTGTCCAATCTGCACCATTTATATTCATTGTTGGCATAAAATTATTTGATGTTGGTGAAGATTTAACAGAATCATGATAGGAAGGAAGTGTTGATTGAGATACTGATGTTTGTGATGTTACATATGGAGCATAATGAGACTGTTCAACATAATTCATTGCTGATTTATTTGTCGTTGATGATGATGAAGATGCTGTTGCTACTGTTGCAGTATTCGATGGATCAATACTATAATCAGTAACAACTGGATTTGATGTTAATAATGTACGAATTTGATCATTTACATTTGGTGTAGTAAGAACATTATTATTATTGTTATTGGTATCATTTATAGTTGAATTTTCAATTGATGATTGTATTGATAATGAACTAGTTGGAGATGTTTTTATATGTGAAATAGGTTGTATTTGAAAATTCAATGAAACAGGTTTATTTTCATTAATTAAACTACGTGGTAACTGCATTGCTGATTTATCGTCGATATTTGCTGATGATGACGATGATGATGATGTCGGTGATGCATCTATAAGTTTTTTTATTGTTAAATTATTATTAACTACATTCGATGGAATAGATGATGACGATGATGTTGATAATTGATTTGCTGAACGATTTTCAATTTCAGTTGATGTTGCGGCTGATACAACTGATGTTGTCGGATTTTGAGAAAGTACTTGAACCGACGATGATTGTGTCTCTAAAACATATAAATAACAATCGATTACAATTCAATAATATAATCTTTCATGTTCTTTTTTTGTCTTTTCGACTGACAGCAAAACTTTTTGCGTTTTTTTTTTTGAATGAATAACAGCAATTCAAATAGTAAAAAAAAAAAAAGACGAGTAACTCGTCCTTGTTATGCTAAGAACCTGTGTCAACAAAAGCAACAAACTAAGCATAAAAGCACGTCCTTTTACAATTCTTTTTCTCATTCTCTCTCTCTCTCTCCCTTCTTCTTTCATAAAACTGCTCTATATATATATATATTTGATAGTGATAATATAGTTCAACATAGATGTCAAAAACAAAAAAATTTACTTCGAAGATTTTTATTTTAAATTACAAAGAAATTTTCAAGATGATCATCATTTTCAAATAGCAATACTTTAGTAAATATTAACAGTACAACTAACAAATAAATGCAAACGTATTATTATCAAATAACAACTGTGACATGTTACTTACACCAATATTCGGACGATAACAACTGACTGCGAAACTATCACTAGACTTTCTCATAAATACTATTCAAGTTATGTGTTGTTAATTATGACCTCTATCAAGGATTACTTTCTCTTTTTTTTTTTCTTGTCACATAACGAAAATAGATATATAGCTGTTGACTTGATACAGATAATCTTTACCTCTATTTGTCTTTTTTTGCTAATATGATTAGATATGTATTCAAAATGATATCGAACCAAAATAGGACATATAAGACAGTAGTAAATCTTTCTCAAAGTTTGATGAATGACAGGTAACTGATTGAGAAACTAACTCTGTTCTTCTGAATCATATACATAATTATATGCATATATATGTATATATACATAGTAATACAAATAAGGATGAATGTACTCGATGAAACCATGCGAGAATATGTATATATAAAATAAGATAACAAAGCCTTGAGCATGACAGACACACACATACACACTTGACGACTAGAAGTTAGTATAATGGAATGATAGTTATAACTTAGATAACATAAATTAGTCAATATCGACATTTGACATTTTCTTACGACAACTCTCGGTCGAATGTCGTTACACTTCTTTACAGTTGATAAAACTGTATTAGTCATCAGTTGACTATCATTATATCCGACCGTTAAGTACGGATCAAAGTACCGTATGACAGTAAAATAAACTTTTTCCTTTTATTACTTAATGTTAAAACCGCTACATAGCATTTATCTTTAAACAAACTTAAAAATATGTCTAGGAAATAAAAGGAGAAAATTCTTATCACTATAGAAAACAAAAAAAAAAAAAAAGAACCCAAGAATAGGAAATATTTTTCTATTTTTTTTATGTGTAGTAAAAGAAAAACATGGCATAACTGAACCGGAATGATGGAGGCGAACGAGAAACTGTTTATGTATGCAAATATTAGAACTATGCAAAAATTTTTTTCTATTTTGTTTTTAATTTTATAAATAACATCAAAATAAATGTTAAATAAAAAAAACAAATCTATTTATCTTACCCGATAATGATGCCGTATGCATTGAAGTTGGAATTTCATAAAAAAATGTGCTATTTTTTGTACAAGTATTTGGTGTATTAAGTACACAGGGTGTTGTTGGTTCTTGAGATAGAGTACCATTTATAACAAGCATTTTTTCGCCATTAACAACTGATGATGTAGGTTCATCAGTTGATCCTGTTGCACTTGTTGTTGTTGAACTTGTTTTTGTTAGATGAGGATGATGATTCATTCTTCTGACAAAGGTAAGCATCACTAATTATTAGGTAAAATCAATAATAACATCCGAAAAAAAACAAAACACGTGCGTTTATATTCGTCTTAATATGATATAATTTTACGCAAAGTGCATTTCATAGGTATTTTCTTTTTTATATACGTTCTTCGACAACAAAACAAAAACGAGAGTCAAAAACGATGATAAAAAGGTAATGATTGACTTTGAAATAAAACTAATAATACGTCATACAACCTTGTCTTGAAAGGTAAATAATACGTAGGCGAACACAATCTGATTGAATATAAATGAGCAATATGTGTCGCGTGTATTGTTGTCAACTATTAAATAAACTACCTGATCAATAAATAAATCTAAAAGAAAAATACTTTATGAAACAAAAGAATAAGAAAACGTTAATAAAAAAGAAAAGAAAAGAAAAGAACAAAATAATAATATGAATCCATACACCTGTTAGATTAGTGATGGTATGCTATTCATCTTAAAGAGTACATTAAGTTTCTTTTAGTTTTATCTTGACAATGAGCTTCATTTTTCTTTTCATAATTCTTTACGAACATTAAAAAAAAAAACAAATAAACGAAGATTGATAAATAGAAAAGAAATCAAGCGATGAATGCTTTATATTTAATTTACAATTTTTAAAAAGTAAATTCATTAGACGATGATGTCGTGATGAAGACAAAGAAAAGAAAAAAAAAACCTAAAAATTGAATATAAAAGTCACATCAATTATAATCAATAAACATTCTAGATAATTAGTTATCTCATTCAATGAATAGAACAAAACAAAGAAGAAGAAAATGAGAGAAAATAAAAAGACCCTGACATTTGTTCGTACTATTGTTTCAATCTGCCATCATCGCTTTTTGTTATTATATATTTGATTTTAAAGACAAGAAGAAAAAAAACAGAACGAAACAAAAAAAAAAAAGTTAAATTATTTTTATTATTATGAAAGAAAAAACGAACCCAACATTACATTGAAACGAACTTATTCATATATACATAGACACATAAAAAAAAAAGTAATTCTTATTATAAACTTGCGTTTATCGTCGTCGATGACGACGTTCGTTCTTCGCGATATTTTTCTGCAACAATAGCATACACAGAGACGGAAGAAAAAAAAAAGTGCGTTTGCGTCTTACTATGTTCTTTACGCGACTAAAAAGGAAAGAAAAAAGAAAGATTGTAAGAAAAAGAATCATCAGTGCAGATAGCACACAAAGTGCCTGAAAAAAAAAAGAGAAATTTACATAAGAAAAGCTAATTTTTATAATGTTTTTTTTTTCCAGACGTCTACATGGATATTAAACATTCAAACATAACACATGTTCACTTGTTTTTTTCTCTTTTAACTAAAATTTATAGTATTCTTCAATGAATATTACTTTTTAGTTAATGATGAAATCTAATAGAGAGGTAATTTACAAAAAGAAGGAAAAAAGAAGCCGCCGGAATTCACCTTCATTTATTTTTCTTTTCGAAAAAAGAAACAATAAGCTTGATTTATACATTACATATTAATTCACTCTATTGATCAATTACTATAGCAAAAAATTTTTTCTTATTCTTATTTTTAGAAACAGAAAAAAATTAACTAACGTATATTTTATTGGAAATAATATTAAACTAATCACATATTTCTTTAAACATCTGACATCTATTGACAAACGCCCGCCATTCATAACTTTCTTCAGCCTTTTTGTTTTTAATTACACTTTGATTCTGTTGGTATACATATACATACAAACTGACGAATTTGTTCACTACAATCGTCTGAAATCAAGATATATATAATATCATTTTCTCTGCTAAACAAATCGTATTGTACAATTTTTTTTCTCTTTAATCAATGTCGCAAACAACTGCTGCGGCATCTAATTCTGGCTTCTTTCCAGGTTATTTCAATGGTAATGGCAATAATCAACCACCACCCGTACCTTTAATGAGTACAATGACTATACCACCTCCACCACCACCACTGCCACCATCAGATTGTTTACAACCACCACCAGTTCCTCCGTCAACATCTAGTTCTGTAAGTTTTCTTTGCTAAAGAGCAAAAAAAAAAAACAAACAACACAGAAAAAATAATTTTTCACTTTCAATTTAGAATGGTGATTTATCTTTTCCACCTCCTCCTCCTCCAGTTTCGACATTACCAAAAGTTGATACAAGTATTCCACCACCATCAGTAACATGTCCTCTCGATGTTTATCAAACTTGGGCATTGCAATGGTCATTCTTTCAACAAGCACAACAAGCTGCTGCTTATCAAAATCAACTTTATCAATCATTTACAAATCAACAAAAACCAACTCCACCATCTCCAAGTCCTGTACCACCAGTTAATAATAATAATAATAATAATATATCCAATGGTTTTAATTCGCAACAATCACAACAACAACAATATAATAATAATAATATGAATACAACACCACCAAAATGGCAATCAACAAGTAAAAAAAATCAACGTTATTATTCATTATAATATTTTTCTTTTCGTTTTATTTAGATTCATCGCCAACATTTCGACCAAGACAAGTACAACAATCATATCGTGCTCGTTTTCCAGCAAATAATAATAATAATAATAATCAACAATTTCAATCATATAATAATGTTCCACCACCAACAAATCTTTCTCAGCAAAAACCACAACAATCCGGTATACGATTTCAATTAAATACACGTCCTCAAACAACAAATAGAAGTGGAAGACGAACACGATTTTCTTCACCACCTAAACAACAAATGACATCATCCTATCCAACACCAATGCCTACGCCACCTGATAATCGTAATGATGATACAATCATGGATACAACAAATTCAAATGAATCACGTCCAATAATGAGTGCTATTGAAGCATTTAAAGTAGCTTGTGATAAACAAAATTGGCCAGATTCATTAAAGTAATTTTATTGAAAATAAAAAATAATAAATAAATTTTTATTTTTTTCTTATAGAAAATATTGGCAATCAATTGAAAATCGTTGTACAACAAATCTATTACGTTCTCAAGCTCATGAATGGTTACAAGGTGTTCTTGTTGATGCATTTCAAAAGAATATTGTTACAACTATTGATTGGCTTAACAAACCTATTCCTGAGTAAGTTAAGAACTTAAAAATGAAAAAGAATTTCTAAAACCTAAAGTTGATTAATATAGATTTTTATTCTTACTGAACATTTAAAAAATGTTGTGTTCGCTTTTGCTTACAGTCAAATTTGATTTCGTAATGAGAATAGTTCTTTGTATAAAGGATATCAATATTGAAAATTCTATTATGCCAAAAAAAGTAGATTAAAGTTAAAAAGATTCATAGACAAGAATCTTCCTAAGCTTCATTTAGTCTCAAAAAGGGCCTATCTCTAATGATTTCAAAAACAATATAAAGCTTGGTAAAAGGGTTCCTATAACTGATTAATTGCTTTTGAGTCGAGCTCAAGAATGTACTTAGGGGTACTCAAAAGTAATGGCGGTCGCATCTCAATTTCGTATAGAAGGCTTGATGAAATTTTCTGTTTTTATGAGACGATAGAGAAAATGAAGCTCTATTTTTCTGTGCTATTTCATCCCTATTCAGCTGGTATCATA